GCAGCAGCAGCAGCAGCAGCAGCAGCAGCAGCAATTCATCATCCATCCCCCCTTTGCTCGCAGAAAGAGTCTGGGCTCGCGTTTGCGCCCCTGATGAACGGACTGGTCTGCTGCCGCGACTCCTGTTCTCTAGCTGGGAGCTGAACAAGTTTCGATCAGCTCCACTGCGAATGCCTGGCCTGCGAAAGGCGGGCAGATGGCCGACGAAGCGACGCTCTTGCAGCCCCGCCGCAGCCTTGCAGCCGGACAGCATGCAGTCGGACCAACGGCTTGACAATCTGAATGTTGCACAGCTGCGTTCAAGTGCATGGAAGCCGCGTGCACCAGTCTCTTGATCACAATGTCTATCGCCTAGCCTCTGTCCGCGGTCGCCTTCTTGACAGGAGAATGTGTTCACAGCCTTCAGCACACAACTACCATCACCAACCATACCCTGGTAGTCCTTGCAAGCGCGCAAGCCATCCACGCGCCTCTTGACTCTTCTCGCGCAATTGCTGTACCCATCATGTCGAAGCCAGCACCCATCTCCACCGACGCAGCCAACGCTGGCAATGGCACATCGCCCAGCAGCTCCGTGCCCACTTCTCCCAGCACCACGCGCAAGCTGGGCAATGCGCTTGCCAGTATGGGCATCGGCACAAAGAAGCAAAGCGCCGATGGCTTGACCACTCCCACTCACGAGATTGCTCAAACCCCTGCGCTGGAGAGCGGTAACCCGTTCGACAAGCACGATATCCCAACAGAGGCTAGACAACAGCTCGTCGTTGGTAAGGTGGGAGAGGCTATCCACGAGGAAAACTCCAAAATCTTGTTGGCGCTGGATGGAACGGATGCGGGTGACAAGGCTTTCAACTACGTTCTCAATAGCAAGGTCCTCGCCAAGGATGCCCACATCTTCAGTGAGTAGCGTGGCATGGCGGCGAGCCTTGCCGCAGCTGGCGCAAGGGTCACTGGGCGATCGAGATGCGAGCAGCTTCTGCACTGGTGTCCTGGTAGCACATGCTTTTCGAGATTGACAATCACACTAACTGGACGTGTTGTGCGTCTTGCTTCGCATCCAGTCGCCACTGTTCTCCCAGCCAATGTCCTTTCGGGTCCCTGGGTGTCTGGTCCCTTGTCCATCGACACGAAGCGTCAGAATGAGCTCCTGAAGCAGCTCAGAACGCAAGCTTTGGCCAAACTGCAGCCATACAAGGAGAAACTCAAGGCTGCTGGCTACGAGGCTACTCTGCACATTCTGCACGGCGATGCTCGTCAATCCCTCGTCAGGGTCGCTCAACATCACAAGGTGAGCAAGGGGCGCG